CTCAGGATTCTTATGTTCTTACTGACATCACCAGTTTGGTTTGCAAGAGTTTGTACCCAAGAGCCAGGTGTCTTATTTTGGCTCATGGTTCTGAAGGCTGCACGTTCAAAGCTGAGTGACAGCATCTTGTGAGGACTTGATATTATATTATACATCATGGAAAGCAGAAGAGCAAGCAGGTACACGAGGAAAAACACTGGGAGGCTGTGTTTTGTTGATCCATTTTTAGAATGAACCCAGTCTTGCAAGAATGCATTAATTGTTGTAATCATTTGGTCACTCTTAAAGTTGCCTTCCGACATCAGCACAGTGGCAACCAAATATCAGAGCATTCCAGAGGATTCAAGTCATATTCAAATGATAGCGATAAGGAATCAAAGCTTTTCTGCTTCTAATTTTAAACTAATGAACTGATAGATTTCTCAGGATGTTTATTTTTGTCTTTTTTCCTATCGTAGTTTTATAGTAAGAAACATTACTACAAGGTTGACGTATCTAAGAGTTATTTCCATTCAGACTTCCTGGATATATACAGTCTCTTCCAATCAGTTGACACATAAATTATCAGAAATATGCTAGCTTAATAGTATTAATTGATGGAATATAGTTCCCAGAAGCCTAGGAAATCCACCTTATTTTGCATGTCATCAAATACTTTTAGATGATAATGAAATTATGAATGACATGAGTCTCAGTATCAACTTCTATCCAAGTCTCTTAATAAAATAATTTTTGTTATTCCTGAAGCTATCTATCTGTTTGTCTGTCTATCCATCATCTATCTGTCATCTTTCATTTATCTCTCTAATCTATCACCTGTCTATCCTCTATCTATCACTAATAGCATCATAAGTTACTCTTCTATGCTGCTTTCAACTAGCAATTTATAGGAGAGCCTCTGAACATTTTAAATCTCCATTTGAATTTCATTATAAATTGGATATTTCTGAGCTACACTTCTATTTTCTAAAGGATGCATAAGACCATTAAACATTTTTTACATAAGCCAGAGCAAAATTATTAAGAGGGAAATTAGCAGAAGCCTTTTGTTTTTGGTTTTTCTCTCTGTTGCTGATAAAATACTCTGAGAAGAACAGATTAAGGGATAAAGAGTTTATTCTGGCTCACAGCTTAAAAGCACAGTTCATGGTGGGACTGACAAGGTGATAAGAGCTTGAAACACCTGTTCACATCGTGTCACAAGCAGGAAGCAGAATGATGAATGCATGTTGCTGCCATCTGTCTTTCTCTACTTATACAGTGAGAATCCCAGCAAGGGAATGAGGCCACCTGCAGTCTGTGGTGCTTCCCACTGCAATTAAAGTAGTCAGTACAATCCCTCACAGGTATAGCCAGTGTCCCATCTCCCAGGTGACTATAGATTTTTTTCCAGTTGACAATTTGCACTCATCATCAAACCTATATACACACTACATTCAATTATTTGGGGTGGACATAAATGTAGCCACACTGTTTTTTTTTTTCCAAAATATTATAGGATTATAGGATACCTATAGGATACTCAGCTTGCCTAATAAAATGAAACTTCTACTTACAAATAAGAAATAAATAAACTTCACTATATTGTAAAAACTATTTTTAGTAAACACAATGCTAAATATGGAAATCATTTATTGACCAGGCTGTCTTTGGAAATGAAATGTAATACAGCAAAGAAATTTACTCTACCCTGAAACTCTCATAGATGGCTAAAAACTTGACTTTTATTCAGAGATATGTTGCATGATCATTTATTGTAAAGATAACCAGGGAGTGTGCCTTTGACTTTATTAACACTAAGATTTATGAATCTTAGCTTTTGGTTTGTTTGTTTGTTTGAGGTAGCGTCTTAATATAGTCCATGCCAGCATCAAATTGGTGATCCCCCTGTCTTAGCCTTGTGTGTTGCCGGGATTACATTACACATCCTACCACCCACTTGTAGCATGCTTTCGCTTAAACGTTGGTTGAGGGTACCTTAAACACAAAAAGAAGGTATCCAGGACTGGAAAGATGGCTCAGGGGCTAAGAGCACTGGCTGCTCTCGCAGAGAACCCAGGTTTGGTTCCCAGCACCTACATGGTGGCTAACAACTGCCATTCCTAACTGTAGTTCCAGAGGACTCCAACACCATCTTTGACCTCTGTGGTCATTGTATGAAAATAGGGTGCATTTATATGCATGAAGGTAATACACTCATATACATAAAACAGAATAAAAACAGTAAGAAATGCTTTAAAAAGAGGGAGTCTGTAGTTATGTCTGGATACATACTTATGAGGGTTTGGTTCTAGGATCCACATATGAGGGAGACATATGTCAATTTTTTTTATGAATCTGTGTTACTTCACTTAGTATAACAGTTTCTAGTTCCATCCATTTACCTGCAACTTTCATGATTTCATCTTTCTTTATTGCTGAGTAAAACTCCATTGTATAAATGAACCACAGTTTCATTATCCACTCGTCAACTGAGGGTCGCTTAG